TGATCAACAAAGCATAATGTAACTAAGGTAATTTAACTATCCTCCGTTCCCAAAAGACTGGTGGAGGGGACTGGGGGACTTAAAATTGACTGGAATAAAGGAAGAAAAATTTTCTATGTCTTCACTCATTTCATTTCACTTCACCCACTACTAACTGGGGTTTCATTTAAGCTTACCAACTATCTTTTTATTCTGCTTATTGAGGCATTTCTGTTCTAATACAAGTTTAGGCGGTCTGTTGATTTGAAGACAATTGAGTGGACTTTCCCTTGTGTGATAAATTCTTATCCATAACACAGGAGAAATGGGATTTTTATTTCAAGTTAAGATTGACTTCATTTACCCTGTGGTTCAAACACACATCAATATCACATCAAAAAGTGATATTGTTAGAGTATAAATCTCATACACTCCTAAGAGGATAATTCAGTTGCCCTAGAGTACTAGGCTGAGGAACCCAGGTATAAACAATTATTTTTAGCAAGTAGGAATTTGCACCATGAAAGAAGTATAGTTATAACAATGCAAACTATTTTAGGACGGTGGTGTACAAACTGGGGCTACACTGGCCTCCTGAATTTTCTGTTTGTTTAGAGTCCATAGACTTATTGCAATTCTGTAGCATTTTTCTGAGCACTTATTAGTTACATAATTATCAGAATCTGATGAGTACAAATTTTCTGTACCTGTAACATTCATAAGAGAGAAGAAAACCTGCCCCAATTCCATTTCTAAACAGTATGTAGGAGAATTGATTAATAAGTCAGTTTGGTTGTATGATTACAACAATATTGGATTCTCTAACTGGAATCAATTCTTAACTAAAATCAATTTATTTATTTATTTAGCAAATGGCATATCATACATGGACTTGCAATATATATTAAGATTTCACCTAGATTAGTAAAACATAATACAATATAAATGTTAAAAAGATCTATGTTCAAACGCCAATGTCTAGCTATTGAAGCGCAGCATCATTTTTATTTAAAAAAAAATCAGATCCTGGACTGGTATATGCCCTCAGCTTACACTCGGTCACAATTGTGATCTACAGTTTGATCTACAATCACACTGAGGGGAGGATACTATGCCCCATTTATACAGAGTCCCTGCAGACGTTGTGTGAGGTGTGGATTATTCAGGATAGTCCATTGCTAGTTCAAAGCCTGGTACCCTTTTTGGGGTCATTTATATGTCTTCTTATATCTGGGTGTTCAATGAACCATTTGGATTTCCATTGGGAATCAATGTTAAAGTTGGGTAAGTACCAGTGGGAGCTTCTTGGATTTGAGTCTTCTGGCTGATAAATGAACAAGGTCGGCATACACCAATAGGAGAGAGTTGTTCATAATTTGGACTAAGAGTAACACAGGGAAATTGTTTTATTTTGATTCTTGCAAAGGATTATGATTCTCATCCAGGATGCTATGATCCCAATCTTGGTACCTCTTACTAGCATCTATGTTTTTAATTTAAAAAAAAAAAAAACCCTTGTACCTAATTTTTATAAACCTTTTAGAATCCAAGGTAAATTTGCTCTATGAATCAACTACTTTTTAAAAATCCTTCCTTCCTTCCTTCCCTCCTTCCTTCCTTCCTTCCTTCCTTCCTTCCTTCCTTCCTTCCTTCCTTCCTTCCTTCCTTCCTAGAATAAGCTAACAATAATTCTCTCAGCAGTTTGCCATGCTAAGCAAACAAAACTATGACAGTTGTTTTAAATTGTTCTTTGCAATAGGTATTCGGCAACTATGAAGGTAAACTTTTTAATCAGAATATCAAGGGTGCACACTATTCATATATTCAAATTAAATTCTAAATTAAACAAAGAACATCACTTCAAAGTATCCAAAATCAGCTTGCTCAAAATAGGCTCCTGCTGTTTTGCACCCCCCAACTACAATCTAAAAAACACATACAGAGAAAGGCTGACAAATTGAGGCATCACTGGCAATTAATCTTAATTACACAACTGGAATAAGATATTTTAGCTGGCCATAGGCCAGAAAGAGCAAACTACTGAATAGAAAGCCTGAGCTCAATTAAATTAAAAAAATACCATCACCCTAAATACTTTATTTAAACATTGCAAGCATACAAAAATCATTTATGGATTAAGAGGGGTTAAAATGTTCAGCTATGTTGACAAATAGGTCTCTCGTGTATTTAACTTTTACACTACTAGGTTATATTTAAAAAAGCTACTTTTTCAACCTTGGGACAAGGGGGCATGATACAAATAGTACCTTGATTTCTCAGTTGGTTAACAAATTAATGCAAAGGACATAAACAAATGTTTTAGGCTTGCTTCATTCCATCACAGCTGTCTTCTGAAGCATTTGTATGAGCATAAGCAATTGCTACTTTAAACATCTCTGCATTAGTTGGGAAAAAGAAAAAAATGTCCTTCGAGGCATCTTTTTGGCCACAAAATTTGAAAGAACAGTTCTGCCCTAAATGGAATAAATGGAATATGCCATTGCCATTTGCTACATTTCTAAATATATGAATATTAAGAAGTGAAAAAAGAGAGGGAGGAAGACACTTTTGTGGCCAATCTCTATATAGTTACTAACAGGATATTTGCTTTAGTACCAACGTTTCTCTACTTTGCCAATTTTAAGAAGTGTGCTGCCTGGGGAATTCTGGGAATTGAAGTCCACACATCTTAAAGTTGACAAGGTTGAGAAACAGTGCTTTAGATTTTCTCCAACAGAAGACACTGAAGTTGTTCAGCTGAGCCACTTGGCTGACCTCTGTCCCTACAATTGAATTTGATCTTCTGCCAGACAGAATTCTGGCTTCTTTTCTTTGACTGGCCAACCTGGAAATAATGCAAAATTTTATACAAGCCCAAGCCCAGGAAATAGATTTGTTTTTGAAACCACCTTCAGGTTACAATTTTCTTGCAGATACCTTCTCCTGCACAGAATGAATGTATAAGGAGATAAGAAAGGCTGTGTGGTTAAAAAAAAAAAAAAAAACACACTTTCTGAAATTACTGTCTCCAGCTAGCTTGGCCCTTGCACAAGGTGTGCAGACTTAAAGAAGTGAAAAGAAGCACATGCTGTACTATTGTACTACTGTACTACTGTACTGTATATGTATTGATACCCATCTCTACCACCACCACACCAGGGGTGGGTTCTACTACAGGTTCACAACGGGATCGCACGCACACTCTTGCTTTGCTTGCGCCCGCACCTTGCTTCTGCACATGCGCAGAAGCTTCTGCACATGCACAGATCACTTCTCATGACATTTATTTTATTATTTATTTTATTATTCATATTTCTATGCCGCCCACTCTCCGAGGACTCTGGGCGACTTACACCAAAGACAGTATACTAAATAGCATATTTCCCCCCAACAATCTGGGTCCTCATTTTACCCACCTCAGAAGGATGGAAGGCTGAGTCAACCTTGAGCTGGTGAGATTTGATCCGCTGATCTGCTGAACTAGCAGTCAGCTGAAGTAGCTGCAGTACTACATTCTAACCACTGCGCCACCTCGGCTCTTATCAGCTGACATCAGGGTCAGTGGGTGGAACCTCCTGCCAATTTTACTACCGGTTCTATAGAACCAATCCGAACCGGGGGGCAACCCACCACTGCACCATACCACCACACTATCCACTACACTGTGCAGATCAGTGAATAGTAATAGTCAAAACATATTTTATGAATGCATTCATATTTTTACAGTATAGAAACCATAAAAAACGAAGTCCCATTGATTCACAAAGTTAGAGAACATCTTAATTAGCACAACTAAAGGGACACAGAAGTGTATTCAACCTTCAAAATACTTCAGATAGTATTGAAATAATATTAAGAAGAGATTAAAAGAAAAATATGTGGAAGACATAGTACAATTCTGAAATCAGGCTGTATATGTGAATCCTGCGGACCTTTGGTTCTTAAAGTTAGCCTCAGTATGGAGTCTGCAAACTGAATACATTGATTATTACTAGCCATTGCTTTGACAGGGGGATCAAACTGGCAGCCCATGGGCCATATGCATCACATGCAGGCCACGCCCACCCCGGCTCCACAAAGGCAAAAAAAGTCATGATATGTCACGTGATGTCACGTGATGTGATTGAGTTTGACATCCGTGCTTTAGAGGATGAAGAAATAATGGCTACTTTCCAGTTTTGTCAATGTAAAAACAAATAAAAAAAAACCCTGTGGTTTCATATGAAAGAATTAGTTTATCTGCCAGATTATGTAAATACCTACTAAGCACCGCTATAATACCTAATAGGTCCAAATTCACAAACTGCAGTAAGCCATGGTTTATTTTAACAAAGGTTTGTGAAATAAGACATTGTATCTGGGTTTATGAAAAATGTTAAGCTATAAACAAAGATTTACAAACTTTAGGGTTTATGGAGCATATGAATCTGTAATGTTCAATGCAAGGTATGAATTCATCCTGTATATTAGCAAATGAGTAAAGATGCATTACCTTTTTCAACTATTGATTTGTCTTGGTGTATGCAGGCAAGAATTAGCTTTATAAAGTAGAACTTGTATTTTTCCTATGCTAATGTTTGAGGTTTAAGAAATTAAATTATACTGAGTTCAGTTATTACATACCAGTTGACAGAACAGCATGAAAGAAGAAAGAACTCTGTTAATCAGGAAAAAAAATGCAGTATATTCATGAATAAAAAGCAAAGTGGTGTATCTGAGAGCAGAATGGGTTGTAATTACTCATTTGTGTGTCTGCGTGTGTGTGTGAATTAGTATGGTCAAGTATTAATATATCCAAATAGATTAATGAGAGTAGACATAGTAATAACATCTCCCAGTGACAGACCCATGCAATAGCCTCTCTCTCCTCTCTCTTAAATAATCTAGACCAAAAGAGTTCCCTGATAAAAGATGAAACTAGAAAGTACTCTACAGATAAAAGTATTTAGCTCAATTTTAATGCTTCAAAGCAAAACTGTAGTATTGGAAAGTGGAGGGAAGAGAGAAAGAAAGAGACTTACCCATATTTTTCTCTGCCAGGAATCAATGGGGCTTTGATGTGGCTTTCATTAGCATGGAGGACCTGAGCAACATACTTCCCATTTGGTTGGAAGTATTTGTAGACAGCCACTTGCACCATGCAGTTTTCACTGCTGCTTCTCAGCCATGGACTCAAAAGGAGGAAGTTCATATTTTCTGATGTATTAAGATACAAGAATGAACCTGCAGAAAAAGAGAACACAAAAAGTCTAATTACTAAAAAAAAAAAAAGAGCACACATCATGGACTTGTTTATCATCACCTCACAATATTATTTTATATTTGCTGGTTTTTATGAATAGCCTGTACATGGATCCTGCAATGTTTCCAAATAGTCACTTCCCTCTCTTGAACTACCAACTCTGAACTACCAACCTCCTGAACTAACCCGCCTACTACCACCAATAGCCTCCCACTGGCCGGAACGCTTCCACAGAGAGGGGCTCCTCCGGGTGCCGTCGGCCAAACAATGCCGACTGGCGGCCCCCAGGGGGAGAGCCTTCTCTGTGGGGGCACCTACTATCTGGAACGAGCTCCCCCCGGAGATATGGAGGATCCCGGATCTGCGCACCTTCCGCCGCGCCTTAAAGACCTTTTTATTTCACCAGGCGGGCCTGGCCTAATTTTCTCCCTCTTTTATAAAAGATTTTTAATTTTTTAATATTTTTTAGTATTTTATATATTCAAATTTTAAAATTGGTTTTAAATTGATTGGGGTTTTAATTTGTTTGGGCCAAAACTATTTAATTTGATTTTAATTCCACTTTTAAATTTTGTATGTATGTATTTTATTGTTTGGCTGTGCACCACCCTGAGTCCTTCAGGAGTAGGGCGGTATAGAAATCAAATAAAATAAATAAATAAATAAATAACTCAGAAAGAAACTGAGACAACGCCTCTTCACAATTAATAAGCCCTCACCCACTCCCACCTCCCATAAAAACATTGTAAGATGCTAAATCATTAGATTCCTCAAACTTCAGTGGCATCTCCACTGTGTCAAAATAACGGGCTCCTTATTGCAGAATTTATTTATTTTATTTATTTAGCGTATGTTTGGTCACACACAGTATCAAAACACTTCATTTTTACAGGTTAAAAACAATTAAAACAATAAAAAAGCAGTAAGAAAACCTAAAAGGAAAAACAGAAATAACATTTCAAAGTTTAATGTCGAGTTTGGAGATCCAGTCAGTAGCTGCCGTTGTTATGCAGAGGAAGTCCCTAGAATCTCCTGGATACCTTCTGTTAGGGCATTCCCTCACTATATGCTGGATAGTCTGTCGAGGGGCCCCGCAATCACATTGTGCTGAAGGTGTCTTTCCCCATTTATTGCAGAAGTCAACAGTGGATGAACAGCATACAGACTGCTGCTAATAGATGGAGGAGAGTTGGCAGCAGGACCAATGTGGAGAGCCCTCAGAATGCTTCTGCATCCTGCTGAGACAGCCCTATCCATATTTCTCTGTCCAGAATCTTGATGACTGTAATATTATTAGATTTTTATGAAAGAGAGAGAGAGAACAGACCAAATTCTCCTGCCTCCTATTTCCCCACAACAATCCTATAAATTAGGTTGGGCTGAGAGAGAGTGACTGGCCTAAAATCACCCAGCAGGTTTTCATGCCTAAGGGAGGCCTAGAACTCAGAGTCTCCTGGTTTCCATCAGGAGTCCATACAGTGACTTTGTTTTCTTAAAGCTTTATTGTATCCACTCTGATTCTCCCATCAGTACACTCATCTGTGGCAAACCTATAAGCCTTGAGTTGTACTGTCTATCTAGCTGTCAGTAGGAAAATTTTAACTTTCCAAAAACAGAACAGGATAGAACCAAATTTGTGTACTAAACAAAATGGCAAAAAAGGAGTGAGATTGAATGTGGATTAGAACAGAGGTGGGCTTCAGCAGGTTTTGACCAGTTTTGGAGAACCAGTAGCAGAAATTTTGTGTAGTTCGGAGAACCAGTAAATACCACTTCTGACTGGCCCCGCCCCCATCTATTCTCTGCCTCCCAAGTCCCAGCTGATCAGGAGGAAATGGGGATTTTGCATTAACCTTCCCCTGGAGTGGGGTGGGAATGGCAGATGTGGCAGGGGAGTATCCTTTCTCTGCCACGCCCACCAAGCCACACCCACAGAACTGGTAGTAAAAAAATTTGAAACCCACCACTGGATTAGAACCAACAAGAGATTGTAGGAGAAAGAATCCAGACAATAAAATCTACAATGCAGTGAGAAGAGCAGTTGGATAGCTTCTTAGAATTTGTTCACAGTTCAATCTGAAGACTCTTTTCTCCTCCCTTGTAGTAAAGTGACATAGAGCAGGGTTATTTTTAAGTGGCTGGGAAAAAAATCCAGTGGCCCTATTCTGCACCTCCCTGGATTATTCATTACAATCAATTGGGATATTGGAAAGAAACTACCAGTATGTACTTTAAAAGGGACTGGAATTCTCTCCCTCTCCCTCCCCCTCTCTCTCCCCCCTCCCCTTCTCTCTGACAATAACATTTATTTTATTTTTAATTAATGCTGACCTGAGATTAAAAAAAAAAAAATTATTGACATATCAGTTTCTGGCATTCTCTTTTTAAATGCAACTAATCCACAATAAATAGTTTTGTTATTACTTGATACACCAATTCTCTTGGCAGTGTCCTATTTAAATAAGTTGACAGAGAGGTATAGAAAGGGGTAGAAATAAATGCATTTACTATTATTTGTACTAATTTAAATGTTTTAGTTTTGACTGGCGCTTCAATTCAACCTGATATATTACTCATACAGGCAGACCCCACCAACTCTACTTCTCTCATACACGCTCACAGTTAAATACTTATTCTTTCAGACATACACAAGCATGGAGAAACATAGGGTCCTATGAAATTTTACTCATCCTAATTTTTATACTAGTTATGACCATAGTAAAGATTTGATTTGATTTGATTTGCATTCAAATATTCTTGGGAATATTAAAATTGTGAGCAAATTGATAGAGGATAAGGCTATCAATAGTTACTACTTGTAAGGCTTAATTATCTCCAGTTTCAGAAACAATATATTTCTCTGTATCAGTTGCTGTGAATGAAGGAATAAAAACAACGTTAATTTAGGGGGAAAGTTTCTAAACAAATTCAACAAATAAGGAGACTAAAGGTAGATATTCTTCATGCATTTTTAGATGAAATACACTTTTGCCTACCTCACCATAAAACTGCTAAAATGCAGAAAAATGCAGAAGAGTTTTTAATTCATGTAATTACAGGAAAATCATAAAAAGAAAATATATGGACAACTATCACTGTGAAAAATCGGCAGAAAAGCAAACCTAAATGAAAAGATTTTTAAGGATCCCATGGACAGCCAGGAAAACAAAGAAATCAGAGAAGAAATCAAACTAGAATTCTCATGTAAACACAATTGTCTAGGATCCAATCTGGGTCAGTCAGTCTTCCAAGCCTTTGGATTCATGCTGGAGCCCATCTTCAGGGAACTTCTCTCTAGCCAACTGTCCAGGCCCTCACTATTAAATATACATCACATGGACATCCTGCTCCTTTCAAAAGTCCATGATGCTTGAAAAAGTTGAATTAAAAACAAATAGAGAACCACCAGTGGCAAGATGGATGGATTCAATTCTGACAGCAGTTAATGCATCACTGACAGACCTTGAAGAAAGATCATTCATGAGTGAATCTATATGGGTGGTCACTAAGAGCTGACATTGACTTGAAGATGCTTAATCAAGCAAGCAGATGTAGTCAGGATGATCTGATTTTCACTCAGTAGTCAATTAATACAAAACTGGTGAAAATCTTTCGGCTGTTAGAATCTGCTAATTGTTATTGACCTTGAAGCTAGAACACTAGACCAAGTGCAAGTTGTATGTGAATTGTAAAATGCTACAGCAAATAGATACATTTGTGTGCTTTCATAGAATATTTACTATAATAGGAAAAAAAGGTGGAAAAATTTTAAGACATTCAAATACTGGAAGAAAGGTAATCAGTAGTGGCTTTTTGTGAGGAACACATATTTGTACAAAGAAGCAAAAATAGCTATATATAAGGAAGCAACACATCAAAAAGCTCACATCAAAGAAGTTCCTCACTATGCTGCTTCAGAGATAGTCAAAAAGTAATGAAGGGAACTTGACACACAATTAGCACTTGGAAATAATTAGCTAACAAGTATTTCCGACTGTTTCTTTCACAAGAGCAAATATGTGATGCATAGCTATTGCAAAAAACAACAACAACAAAAAATTAACTTCAGTTGCTAGCAGATACACTCCAAAGGCTAGAATAATTGATGGTTATAAGTTACCTGATTCAAAAGTTCCTTGATCATATTGGTGTCTAATAAAGGCAAAGGTAAAGTTTTACCCTATTCAGTCATGTCTGACTCTGGGGGGGGGGGTGCTCATCTCCATATCTTAGCCGAGAGAGCCAGCGTTGTCTGAAGACATTTCTATGGTCATGTGATCAGCATGACTATACATCAAGGCACATGGAATGCTGTTACCTTCCCACTGAAGTGGTACCTATTTATCTATTCACATTTGCATGCTTTTGAACTCCTAGGAGCTGGGGCAAACAATAGGAGCTCACCCTATTGTGCACTGGTCCAGCTGACAAGCTCAGCATCTTTAACTGCTGAACCATAGAGCCCTCTTCATTGATATCTAATAATGAACACTTTAAAAATGTGTAGGATAGCATTGATTATCAGTAGTTTTCTGGATAGGTCAAGTTAATGTATGAAAATGCACAAAATAAATCTGACCCACTAAAATGCTGGTCTCAATTGTGAATTGGATCATTTGGTATACACAAGATCCTATTTACCCAAGGTAGCTAATATTTTCTTTTTAAAATTCTGGTACATAGGTAAATGGTATCAGTTCTAGTTATTCAGCAGCAAACTCACACAGTTTCAGTATTACCAGATAGTAGACCCCAACCTAGGAGCCAATTTGGAGAGTGAAACTTGGCTCATCATAGTTGAATTCTACGTTTTGTTTAATAATCCTCTTCTGGTCCAGCTCCATTGTATATTGTATGATGGTGATTTGGCTTGACATTAGAAGCAGAATACCATATGTCACTGTTATTTAGTAGAAATACAACTAATTAGGATATTTACATACATTGTAAAAAAGAGAAATTAAAATGGATTAAGTTTAAT